CCCCTTGCCTCAAGGCCGGACCCGTATGCACGTGTTGATACGTGATTGGTCGGTTTTTCTTCCACTGTGATATATTGATGTAACAAGACTTGTTTATGACTAGAGGCTTAGAAATCCGTGAATGGACAAAAGTTAATTGTTTCATTGGGGTTTTCTGTTATTTATGTTGTTTGGTCACCAGCCAAACAGTTCAGTCGTTAAGTTTTGGAACTGTCAATCAGGCCGTTATCATGCCTGCTGTCTCAAACTCCACTGCTGGGCACGCAACTGCAGATACGTACAAATATTTTCCTTTGAGCTATATAAATCCAAACCCTACTAAAAACAACTCGTAACATCATTGACACCAGAGAACAATGGTTTTTACACAAAGTAACTGAATCATGCAGATTTCTTACTTCAGCAAAATATAATAAACTTAATAATTACTACAGACGAAAATGAGCCGGTGCGCCCAGCTAACACTCCTTACAGTACATTTGAAGTTTTCATTTAGGTCAGAGTCGATCAGAGATGTCTGATGGTGGTGCACTTTCCGACAAAATAGTAATCCAAGTACCAGTGTACATTTGCTATATTTTTTTTTTTTTTTTTTTTTTAACCACGGCAAAACAAACATATTGTTCGGTGGGTGAAAATACGTTAAATTTCGGGTGCCACGTTTAAAAATATATATTGCACTCAAATAAAGCGAGCTCTTGGCTCAAAGCCGTAACTGAGTTATGCACGTGATAATATATGAATGTTCCTTTTACAAACTACACAAACATCTACATTACACGGTTAAAAATAGGTTGAAATTTACGTGTCGACGCTTTTAAAAATATTGGACTCAAATTTACACCTAAGTAAAGCCCATTGCCTCAAGGCCGGACTCGTATGCACGTGGTGATACGTGATTGGTTGGTGAAGTTCTTTTAATAAAACACAAGTCCTGCATGGGAAGGCTCAAATCCTCAATATTTGAGGTTGTTTATTTTCTTTGGCGATTGCTCTTTCACTCGAAGACGACCTCGTCATGATAAAGTCATGTACCATTACTATCCGAGCTACCAAATTTCAGAGGAAACGAGCGTTCAAACCAACAAAGACCAAGTAACGTTAAGGATATTGCGCAAGGTTGTTTGTTCCTATAGAAACTGTTTTGCTGAGTCGGCGGAAAGAGATCATGTCGGCTATTTGTCGACTTGACGTCAACCGCTGAAGCGTGTTTGCAAAAGTGGCGTTTCGAGCGTGACCGTGATTGTTTCCCTTTCATTGCGGTTTGCCTCGATATATCTAAAAGCCTGGAGGCGGCGGCGTTAATTGAAAGTTTAACAAAGCGAATATTGATAAAGGGGAGGCATGTCACACGTCATATCCTAAACACTTAGCTTTTATCAGAATTTGGAGGCTGAGTGTTGGAGAGTTAACGGATAACCCTTGAGCCCTGCTCGCCGCAACTCGTTCGTCCTCCGTACTTTCACAGCCAGTATTGTTCTAACGAGTCAACACCGCATAGCGCTCAGTCTGCTAAACTTGATGCTGCGAATCATCCGGCTTGACCCCACCAGTCGCTTCCCTCCCACTCTTTAAAACAAGCCACCTCAAATACACGTTGGTCATTGCCGGTCGCTCCCTCCCCTATTTGTTGTAGTATTTGTCTCCTTTGCTAGAAATCTTCTCTAATCGGCTCAGACTGAAGCGAAAGAGAATAGAATTTAATACTGGCCAATGCACAAATGAACTTCCCTCGATTCGGGTCTTTTTGGATGTCCTATTCTTTTGTGAGCAGAAGAAGTCACCCATATACATGTAACATACTCTCACTGGTATTCGGAAGGAAGGAAAGCCTCCCTTTTATCCAAGCTCGAAATTATCGGTCAATACCTGACTTAACATCTATTTAAGATGTTCCACGTCATTTTTGCCAGGATACTGACACAAGAATGATTAAACAAACATCCTGGATTATATGCATACTTTAATGAAGTTACGTTTCAGTTCAATATTTTGTTGATAAATGGTGGTCATGTACAAGGAAGTCCTATAAAAATTAACGGCAATACAAAACATTTAATATGGTCGAAATTTTCTCGCCGACCTCATTTCAGCAATTTTCTTCTTGTCTTCGTCGAATTTCTTTCGTAAATGTGCGATATCTGTCAAATTGAAATTATGAAAAGAAAAACACACGAGTTAACACCAAGTAATTGTACTTATACATGTATTCTCGCTCTCTCGCTGGTCCACATTGCAATTGGTCCGTGTGTGACCCTCAGCTAAAGAATCCCACACGGCTCTGTCTTATAAATCAAGAAACAACACTCTGTTCCTCAAATGCGCCACACAGTCGTCTTTACTTCCTTGTTACCAGAGCAGGTAGAAAGGCTGATCTTCTTTCAGTCATATAGCCTTAAATCCTGCGGCACAAATTTACATTTTTATCATTATTAATATCTACTCACGTTCTCTTCTTGTCTCTCGTTGCTGAAACTGGTAAAAATTTAACAACGCCTGCTACAATAAAGGCAAACATAAAAGCATTAGTATAGACTATAGTGGTCAGTTATTAATTATTGAAAGTTCAAAGTTTTCACAATTTGATGTTTAGAATATAACTTGATAAGGGTCTTCTCAAGACAAAAGACTCTGGGTAATATTACGATATACATGGATTTCTCACATTTTCTTAATATATATATTTTTTGAAATTCAGTTTTCTAGTTTTTTCTATTTTGGGGGGGCAGGCACTTTTATCATGAGCCCCTGACTTGGGAGTATAGGTAACCACTCCCCAAAGTTTTGAAACTGAATTATAACTTATTACTCATTACTCTCACATTGTCTCATAAGAACTAATCAGGAAAATGTGGATAAATGTACTTAAAATTTCTCTTTAGATTTCTACGAAAAATTAAGTTCTCTCTCACCCCATGTCTATCTACATCTACATCTACATTTAATAATCGATAATGCTTTTGCATCCAATCAATATAAAGTAAAAAATAAATAAATAAATGATAAAAATAAATATTTGATGGTCACACATGGACCACGTGACTTAAAGATGAGTACATCTCACTCAGTAACTGGCTGGTGAAGTGGGTTTTTTTACAGTGCATTTATTTCAACCTTACCTTCTTTTTCTTCTTCCTCCTTTCTTGTAACTCGGCAGCATCCACTCTGGGTGCGGCAGGGTTCCGTCCACCTCTTCCTACAGTCACCCAGCCCTCATCATCAGGTTGGTTTTGTGCTTCAGCCTCTTCTTTTTCACTCTGGAGACAAAGGATGACTATTTAAAGGGGCAACGCCATCTGTTTTATTCATTACCACAAGGTGAATCACAAGGCATCCAGTGACTCTTACTAAACAGGTACTACCAGTAACTAAATGCAATTATGCAGTCCAGAAAGCTCAAAAAATTGAAATGATGAACATTATGCAAAAAAAACAAACAAAAACAATTACTAAAATATTGTGTACCTGTTCTTTTTTCTCATCAAATGTTGCCATAAATTCANTTCTGGACTTACATGTAGTCTTAACCTTACATGTAATCTTAATCTTATTTTAATCTTACACATAATCTTTTGAGGAGCAGGTATGGCACAGTGGTGAGAACGACCGCTTCCCACCAATGTGTCCCAGGTTCGATTCCTCAGATCCCACGTCATATGTGGATTGAGTTTTTGTTGGTTCTCTACTCTGCTCAGAGAGATTTTTCTCCAGGTAATACAGTTTTCCCGTCTCCTCAAAAACCAACATTTCCAAATTCCAATTTGATCCTGGAATGCACCGGCATTTCTGAACGAGTTCTTGTGAACTGCTGGGTGCTCCGTGGGTAAACAAATTACATATCTACATTTTTTTTTTAATGATATTGTTAAGTCACATGTACAGTTACTCTCCTTTGTATACCAATGGCCATGTGGACCCTTCCGTGACTCATGGGTACCACTTTACCAATAAGATTCAATCAAAACATCGTCAGAGAGTAAACAGAATCTTGTACGGTTATATATCAGTCTTTTACGGCTTATGTAAGCTTAAAAGCTCAATTTGCTTAGTTATAAGCCCTCTGAAGGTTACCTTGATCGTCACTTTATCTGAAGCGATGACTAAACTTGCCGTTTCCCTTTCTACGGCTCCAGGTTGCTTGACAATGAACACCTCCTTTACTGCTCCACAGCAGCTAAATAACCGTTTTAACGAGCCCTAGAATATAGTTTCCAGAAATAATTTTATAAGCTACATTGGTGCGAAACGTGGCCATAAAGCAAAGAAGTTTAGGCTTACCTTTGTACAATATGGGGGGATATTCACAACGAAAAGCGTCTTATCTGGTGGCTTTGATGTATCTTCGTCTCTTATTGCATGATTTTTGATATAAAGAAAATGATAAGAACTAGAAGTGTCACTAAATTTCACGCACAGCGTTCGAAAACCACAAACTTCGGACGCCATTTTGATTTCTAACTGAGTAACCGCGCAAACATCTGAGCATGCGTAGCCGGCAAATAAGGAAAAACATGGCGGAAACCTTGGAGGACTTGATTGGTACTATTCAATTCCCTTTAACTTGTCTGCTTTCAGTTATTTTCCAATTATTTACAAGATAACCTGTCTTTTAGATAAAGCCACGGATCCATCCAAAAGCCGGGAAGGTGTGGATTACTTAACTCCAGTATGCGACAGAATAAATTTGGACCTAGATGGGTGAGGACAGTTGACTTTAGCTCAGATTTTGCGTCAGTTTAGTTAAGCTCTAAGGCTTAAGCTTAAATATATTATTGTCTGTTTTCTAGTCCACTAATCGGGATCCGTTACATTGCCACGAAAGTCAAGAGCGCCAGGGAAGAAGAGGCCCTTCTTGGACTTAATGTGAGTTTGAAAATCGCAATCACATCAGCCAATGAAAATGAGGCATGTAAAATGGTGATCCACACATCTGAGATCTGCATGTTTGAAAGACAAAAGAGTTCCTCTTGTACAGATTCGTTAGTGCTGCTTTGAATTTTGAATATCATTATGGACTCAATGCTTGGGAAATCAATTGATCAATCATTGGCAATCGATTTCCTGGTCGTTCATAAGGATTGATTGGCATTTCATCAACCAATCAACAACCAATAGGCCATTTCCAAGTTGCTTTTTGCCACTGTGTCAGTACAACATCAATAAAATTTAGTGTTGATATGCCGTCTCTCTGTTTGTTTTGAACCAAACAATTGAAAGTCTAAAGTTAAAGGCAAATGGTTTACAGAAGAAGTGAAATTGCTGAAATTTAGTTGTAAATGCAAGAAGTAACATGAATGCACAGTATTATTTAGGCATAAAATCTTATTAACATTCTTGTCATTATATTTTTGATCAGCTTATTGAAGCATGTGTGCAAAACTGTGGGCAGCGATTTCACACTGAAGTTGGAAAATACAGATTCCTTAATGAGCTAATTAAATTAATATCATCAAAGGTAATTGTATTTTAAGGTATACTGTACCACAAAAATGTTTTGCCACTATATGAATTATGTTGTTCCAGAACATATCCTTGGGGTTGTAAAGATGATTCTTCTGGAAATTCACACTTTTTTATCACAAAAAAAGGCACATGAAATTTATTTTTAATTTTCATGGGCACTTTATACATAAACTGTAGGTGAAATATTTGGAACTACTCAGGGACAGGGTTCGTACGAGTCCTGGAAAACCTGGAAAGTCCTGGAATTTTACTGTGGCATTTTCCAGGACTGGAAAGTCCTGGAAAAGTGCTACTGGTCCTGGAAAGTACTGGAAATCTGTTAAACTCAAGTAAAAAATATGAAATGTATGGCAGACAGCAAGGAGAATTAAAATTGAAATCTTGGGAGTGAAAGGGTTAATGTGAATTTTAGATTCCTGGAAAAATCAATCTGAGTCCTGGAAAAGTCCTGGAAAAGTCCTGGAAATTTGCTTCTGAAAAAGGGTACAAACCCTGGAGGGAATCTTTACAAACCATTACAAGTAATCTCCAATTTCAGTTTAAAAGGTCAAAATGTCTTGGGCTTGCAAAGAAGAATGTACCCTCACCTTCTCTCAAAATCTTGTTCACCTCCTCTGCATGTACTGACATAGTTTATTAAACACTTTTCTTAAAAAATGTCTAGGAAATTGTGCAGTATCAAACTTTTGATATATACCATGTGCATACACTGAAAACTGTAGCCCAATGAAACATATATTTGACATACCAGTCTCATGCGTTCTTGAGACAGCAATAAATGAGTACTGCCCAATTGTAGTGGACACCATACCTTCAACATTTTGCTTCTTGAACCTGCTGGAAAGGTGTTTTCCTTGATACGGCTAATTACATGCTTTTTGTACATGCTTCAATATAAAGATATCTTGTGTCAATATAAGGGGCAACAAGGCCAAGTGGTTTAGGGCACTGGTCCTGTAAAACATACAAACTATCAGTAGGTCGTAGGTTCAAGACACCCCCCCTCCCCCCTTTCCCTTCCTCCGTTACTACCTGGTCCACCTGGTCTGGAGTAATTATGTTAATTGTTTATTTGTAAGATTTTTTTTTTCCACCTAGTATGATGGAGACTGGACACCAGATGCAGTCAAGAAGCGCATCATTCAGTGCATGTACAGTTGGACCCTTGGTTTACCAAAAGAGACCAAAATTGCTGAGGCTTACAAAATGCTGAAGCAGCAAGGTAAGCCACAGCACAGTTTCAGAAGATCTGTTGTTTAATTCCAGAAAATATCCATACCTCCCCTACTGAAGGAATTTTTTCTGAGATTCCCCACCCCTCTGGAAATTCCAAATTAAGTTTCATACATTTCTTTAATTTTTTTGGTCAAGAGATTACAGAACTTCTTCCCCCACCCCCCCGCTCAGAGAATTGTAATCCCTGCTGTGATGGGAGTATCTCTGTATGGATTTTGACTGGAACTGCACAATGCTTTTGATTGTAATAAAACACAGTAACTTAATTATTGTAAAGGCAGTTAGTATCCAAAAACTATTTGATATGCAACAGAATTTATTTCATTATTTACCATTTCTCTCCTTGTAATTGAATCCAACAAAAAGTCAGATCTGCACTCATTTTTAATACCGGCAATTAAACCTTTGAAACAAACCTCATAACATTTTTAAATAGTAGTATTTGATTGCATTACATGTATATGTTTTTAATATTATTTTTTTTGTACATTTTATACTTGTATGCAGCAGAGTGTATTTTTTGTGAGTAAGTTTACATAATGATTATGTGATGTAATGTGGACCATAGAATGGTGTAACTATTGAATTTCTTTTTATTGAGGAATTGTGACGAAAGACCCAGAGGATCCATATGCCACACCATCAGATGAAGTGAGTGTGCAAAGGAATATGACGTCTACATGTGTGCATGGAAACTTGCATTAATATTTCACTCGGATTTTGTGGTTCATTTACAGTAACTGCTATAGCCCATAGCTTTGTTGTGTAAATAAAAATGGTAAAATATTTTGGGAGAGAGATTTTTCCTGCAGACCTGACCTTCTGAAAAAAAGAAGTTCTGTTTAAAAAGTTTTACCTGCTTGTCAAGGGCAGAAATAATACCATTGTCATCTGCCTGAAAACCTTTTATTTAGCTAATGAAACCCCTGGTGATGGAAGTGCCATGTGGAGTTACAGTGGAACCCCGCCATTATTGCCACCCACTTCATTCTGGCCCATACAAAAGTTCAGTCAGTCATTTTCTTATTTAAAGAGCCCTTTAATTAATAATACAGCCACCCTGTTAATACTGGCCAGATTTTTTTGCCAGTTGATGACCAGTTTAACAGGGTTCCAGTGTACTTGTAGTAGCAAAATATGATGGTTTATTTCAAAACAAGTGTAAAAGGTTTTAGAATTGCAACCATGCCAAGTGATAATGATTTTTATCCAAGAGTACAACCAATCAACATTGAATTTCTTCTGTTGATAGAGTAAACCACAAGAAAAACCAAAAGATACAATATTTCAGGATGAAGAAAAATCAAAGGTTAGCATTCATGTGTTTACAAAAATGAGGTGAATATATGTGTCCAAATATAATTGCGCTAAATTATTGAGTCTTACTGGCAATAATGACAATGGATCTGTGTTTTTTTACCAGCTTCTGTCACGTCTTCTGAAGAGTACTCATCCAGAAGATTTACAAGCTGCAAACAGGCTGATAAAGACCATGGTTAGACAGGTTCGTTCTTAGAAAGGATACAAGTGACACTGTTCAGCAATGATTAAGAGTGCTCAATGATATGCTTATCATAATATTCTAGAACACTAACAGATGTATATAGGACCGTCATAGAAATGCTACTCACAAACTTTGTGGAAACAAGATTGTTCATGGGTGATAAAAAGATTTTCAAGTCCCAAGCTTTCAAAGAGGCATCAAGCAGATGTCCGTGATTTCATACAGTTTGAAGAAAATCTTGGGAGATATGCCCTTTCAAAGGCTAAAGGACCCATTTACAGTTACTATGAGCTACCTACAGTGCATGTGCACCATATGTACCCATGCACTGTGTGTGTTCGCCACTGATTCTCTTATTGTAGTCATTGAATTGTGTGATTTTGCCAGGATGAAATGAAGATGGAGAGACTGGTGAAAAGAAACACTGAAATAGAAACTTGTTGCAATAACATCAAGCTGCTAACAGAAATGCTGAACCACTACAGCCCTAGTTCTCCATCCCAAGATAAAGAACTGATGAAGGCAAGTAGCACTTGAAAATTCAAATTGAGTCTCCATGTAAATGGTGACCTCATTCATGGGAACGGTAGCTTAGATACCTCTGACAACATGGTATCATTTTAACCTTTCTTGAGAGAGTGTGTGTGAGAGAGAGTTTGAGATTTGAATTAAAATTTCCATTAGCAAGTCTTGCACATGTACATGTCTGTATCAGCAGCTAGCTTAGGTATGGAGATACAATCATGTGGTTTGTAATGGACCCTTAGGTTGGTTGTTTGGCACTTGAATGGGGCTAATCACTACCAAGCAACCATCTCTGTATGTCCCCCCACATAGACCACCTCTCTTGCATGTCTTCATGCCAACAACTGCACTTCTATACATGTACATCAGTGCCAAACTTTGGTTATTACAACATCTGTCTGTCCATCCATCTGCCCACCCATGGATCCTTTCACACATACATGTACAAGGAAGGGTTCCTATTTCCCATAAGCTAAGTAGCACTTTCTGTGAAGAGACACTAAGTTGTGATCTGAAGGGTGGTGTGACTGGCTGAGTTGTGTGCCAAACTCTGTTAGAGAGCTGTTATTTGAGAGTTATCCTTGATTACTTTTTTGTCGCAAATAGGAACTTTATGATGCCTGTGATAGGATGAGACCCCAGTTATTCAGATTGGCCAGTTCAGCCACAGAAGATGGTGATGAAGGACTTGGTAAGATGAAAAGCTGTAAAACCAGAAAATCTTGCTACATTTTGTTCCGGATGCTTCACCAACAAACTCTAATGCAAATACCAACATTTTGCAGCTGATATTCTCAGGGTGAATGATGATCTGTCAAGAGTCTTAGAGTATTACCGAAGGATTTTCGGAATGCCCCCCCTGGCCTCACTCACTACAGCTGGTCCAGCCTCCCCTCCAGCAACCCAGACAGCAGCTGCAGAGGCTGGGGTAGGTGCAGGAGCAGGTGCAGGTGCAGGCGCAAGTGCTTCCACTCTTATTGACCTGGGTGCTACAAGTCAACAGGCAGAATCAACAGAAACACCTGTTCCAAGTGTTCTGGAAAATGAACTCAAAGCTTTGGGTAAGTCTGGTTACAACTATTGGAGAGTTTTGAGGATTTGGAATTGAAGAGTTGGGAGGAGGCTTGCTGAGTGATAAGCAAAGAAATGCTATGTTGTGTGTACCACCTACAGGGTAGGTACTGATAGGATAGGTGTCGATGATGATGACGATGACAATGACAATGACAATGACGATGATGATGATACATTTACATGTGGTTACCAGGTGAAGTTTGCCAGTTTACCTGCCTGTGCATTCCACACACTCACTCATCCTCATCAGGCCCATGAGGACTCTTGAGGCCTGTGCATTCCAAGCATGGACAAAATGGACAATCATATATCATGTTGCTTGTAAAAGCAAATTCTATTTAGAAAGTCACAACAAAAATCTTTGTTTTCCCGTCCTAGAGAACAAGAAAGGCCATTGTTTTCGAACTCTATTGGCATGATGATGTTACTCTGTATGTGTGTGGCTGCTTGTTTCATGAAATTCCTCCCTTTTGTAGGTCTTCATGACATTGAACCACCTCCTGCAGCCAGTAATTCTCAGATACCTTTGCAGGTATGATTTGCTTGAGGTGTTTTTGTTGTTGACATTTTTGTGGAGGAGGAAAGTTAAACGCTGCTAAATACCAATGAACAGAATTTAATCATGGACATTACCGCAGTCATAATATTTTTTTTTTTTTGGCAACAGCCCTGATCATAGTTTTTTGTTTTTTTTTCACAACAGGTTCCTCAACAGCCTGGTGGTGTAGGGCCCTGGACTGTGCCAACTCAGAACTTTGGCATGCTCCCAACCGGTGTGCCCTCTACAGTGGGTGTGGTCAGACCAATGGGACAGCAGCAGGTGGTGGGCATGATGGCTCCAGTGTACATGGGAGTGGGACAAATGCCTCGAATGCCCTTTCAAGCTATGAGTCCTGGAGCAATGTCAGTGGCACCCAGACCAGGTCCAGTGAGTATGGGAACAACTAGCCTTGCCATGCCAACTACTGGGCTAGCAGCTCGGGGGAATCTTCCAGCAGCTGGTAGCCGAAGAGCAGGAGAGGAGACCAGAGCACCTAATGCCCTTGACTTGTTGGGTCAAGAAGTTCTGCAGAACCAGAAGCAGCAGCAGAAGCAGAAACAAACTGTCACTCCATTACAAGAGAAAGCTGTACCAGAGCAGCAGCAGGCATCAGCATCAACAACTGACAGCTTGCTATCATTAGGACTGGAGCCCAGCCCAGCGACACTTCCTGCTGGTGCCATGAATGTAGGTTCTCCTTCACCTGCTAGTTTTCCTCCTGTAGCATCACCTCCTAAACCAGCTGCACCTCTTTCTCTGGACAACGTTTTTGTGCCTTTAGATACTATTACACCAGGTTAGCAATGACAAGTTTGCTTCTTTGCTCATCTCACCTTTACATGTATCATGTTCATAAACTGTACTTAGTTTTCTTGAATTGTTTTTGTGTATGTCTCCCCACAACATGCATTGCATGTGAACTTGTAGTGCTGTTTGCTAGGAAAATAACAGCCTGCAGAACAGGTAGATTAGCGAAGCAGAGGGCGAAGCGCGATACACGAGCGCGGAGCGCGACCAGGAGCGCAAAGCGTGGGCTATGAAAGTGACCGGAAGTGGCGTTTCTAGGAAGCGCTCGAGCAATCAAGCGTGGTGCATTTTGTATAGTATATACTTAATATACTTAAAAACTGAGAACGTGGAAAATCAATATCTGCCTGTCTAATTAGCTAGTTTTAAATTGCACAATTGTGCACTTGACAATTGCGAAAGTTTGTGTGTCTAGTCAGGTTATTAATACATGTAGCTGGAGAACCTTTGACAAGAGTTAGTCTCTTGTTTCTCTCCCTCTAGTATAGGTACGAACCAATATGAGTGATATTTGAAAATTCTTCCAAAATTGCACGAGTCTGTAGGCGGGCGCAATTTCAAAAAATTTTCAAATATCACGAGCAGTCTACATGTACACTGTAGATCCTTAATTGCACGACGAGCTTTTACACGATTGCTCATTATATGATGGAGAAAATAAACGAACGCCCGCGCGTTAATTTGCACCACAATGCAAATTAAAAGTTTACGATAAATAGACCAATTTCGATATATTAAAATTCAGCCAAAAACAATAGACCCTAGTACGAGGCTCTGGGGAATAACAACTTAGTTTGTGGGGTTTATTCACCAGAGCCTCGTGCTGAGGTCTGTTGTGTTAGGCTGAATTTTAATATATCGAAATTGGTCTATTGGCTTGCTCTCTGCTGATAAAAATGAAGTAGTTTTGTCATAAAATACAAGATCTCAAACGCCGTGGTTTTCCTTCTCTAGGAAGCCATGCACCACTAACAGTACTCGAGAAAAACAACATCAGGATTATTTTTCACTTCGCTAAGGTGAGTGTTCTTTTTCATCTTTCCCTCCTGTTTTTGGATCATTGTATCCCATATCTTTGTTCCCACTAAAATTCTAAATGTTAGTTGCATCGTGCTGCAACTTGCTGGAAAGACAACAGGCTGCAACTGATAAACACGCAAATTCACTCAAAAGATTGACTTTTTTTTTTCTTATAAAACGTACGATGGCAGTAATAGCGAAATCAGCCGAAATCAATTGTAACTGATAAGTTTAGGTCTCGTAAAATTTCGTGAAAGTTATACATGCAGAACTCTTTCTACATGGGGTTCTCTAGCCCTGACAGCACGGAGTTTATCTGTGTTTTTACGACGTTTATTAGCCGTTGCTCAAGAAGAAAACTGCCCTCATATTAGAATTTAGCAGTGGTGTGACCAGGGGACCTGTTCATAATTGGATTATATCCGTTTTTTTAATGATAAGCCCTTACTGCTTTCAGAGCAGAAGCATAATGAACGTAACTATTTAATTTTACCTTTTTTAGACTAGTGCAGAATTGTCCAGAAGTGACTTGTTGATTGTCGTGATCTCCACTATGAGTTTCCTGTCTTCTGCAGTTAAAAATTTTGTCTTTCAAGCAGCAGTACCAAAGGTAAAGTAGATCCGTAGGCATATCAAGAAAGATTATTTTAACATAAAGAGATTTATCCAAAAACCACCCAATAAAAATAACTTGTACAGAATTTTGTACATGTATAAAATTACATTTATTTTGTTTTAAATGTTTTACATGTATCTCTAAGATATATATAGAGTTCTTTGCAGGCGTTTGTTAGCCCCTATAGCCAAAAGGTCACACTGTTTGACGAATGACCTCGTGGATGAGAATAGGAATGCATAGACAAGCAGTGAAAATTTCAAAATGTTCAAAGAAGGCACGACGTAATAAGTTATTCAACGAATGATGTCAATTCAATGTGGCATATATATGCCATCAAGAATGATGTACAGCTTTGAAATAAGTGAAGAATTATTGCCTATTTTGGCCCACTCGTCACGCAAAGTACTATTTTGATTGGCAACGTTACGTGACCAGTGGCTGTTAAGGGCCCTATTGTCACTCTAGTATCAT